TGTCTGTGTGTGTGTGTGTGTGTGTGTGTGTCTGTGTGTCTGTGTGCGTGTCCGTGTGTGTGTGTGTGCGAGTGTGTTCATGAGAGCTCCACTAAAGACCAACACTAACTTGAAAAAACAAAACTTGACCCACATCGAAATGGGATGTAACGATAAGGTAAACCTTTGTTACAAATCACCTTCACCTGACTTTCACTTTCACCAGAGATGCCCGTCATGCACAGAAATGACAGCACTGTTCCTTTAAACAACTACCGAAAGTTAAATACTACCTGACCCATATCAACACGATAGTGACAGTTAGGTTTTGACAAAAACATTTTGTAATCTTCGTTATCAACCATCTACAAAAAAAATACTGTCACCAAACGCTGCTATCATTCACGATGGTGTATAATCATGATCCAGTGATAAAATATATTGTTTTTAAACAAACGAATTTTAAATTTAGCCCTCCCAAGTTCAAATAACAACTCACTTGAGAAGGGCTCTTCAAGTCTAGACACTCAGTCAACACAAGAAGAAAAAGGTGGTAAGGCGAGACAAGAGGACGACTTTTCTTCCCACCGCCTGGCCCCTAATGTTCAGTACTGTATTAGAATTAGTATTCACAGTTGTCATGGATTTGTCTTTCTTTCTTTTTTGATTTTTAAGAGTCCCAGGTATGAGAAATAAATTAGGGAAAACAACAAACAAGCTCTCCTGATAAAAATACAACACCTCAAATTATCACTTAAAAATAAAAAACAGCAACAACGACAGAAAAACAAACAAAACTCCCAGCAGATAAAACTGTTATGTAAACTTCATGTTCCCAGAATGTGATCTTTGTGGCTGGGACCTGATCGGGCAAATAGCTTAGTTTAATTTGTGCTGCTCGTCTTCCGTAGTCTACCATCTGTTGCAACAGCATTGGTAACATACTTAGAATGACAAGGAGACCTCTGTTTATAGTGTAGGTAACATACACATAAGGATAGGAGACCTATGCTTAATTTTCTATAAAACTGAAAACCAAATCACTTGTCCAATTTTTACTGGGGCAACTGTAATTTTTTTTTTTTTAAAGGAATATGAGTTCCAGCAGTCCTTGGAAGCTGACAGACATCATATTAGCATAATTGATTGATTTCCTCACCCTTACTATCATCATTTTTCCTCTACTTCTTATGTATGTTTGTCACTCTCTTGTGAACGGCTATTTCCGAGGTACTTTGATAACTGAAGCAGACTTTGCGCTGTTGAGGCTAGAGAGGTGAGCAGAGTAAGCCCGATTCCCCATTTGGACTTCTCTGTTGACATCTACCCCTTGGTGCTCATATGACCTTATGCAGTTGCGAGCACCGTAAAATCTTCTAAAACTAAAAGATATGTTACAGCCCAAGAGCCACAGTATAGACCAATTACCAGCATGGCTACTTAGCGCCTGACTGTCAAAACAGGCTACGCAAGATACAATTGATGCTTGTTTTGTTTGAGTAAGAAACATATCAACACAATAATGGTCACTTATTAATACTTGGAAAAAGTATGTCAGGCAGACAGACAGATAGAAACAACAGAGGGAAAGTAAAGAAATAGGACTTAGTGGCGCTCTCCAACCACTCGCCGAGATACAAAGTCCCAGACGAAAGACAGAGATACTCAATAAAACATCTGCCCAAACACAGATTATTGATCTCACATATTTTCCTGCAGGGAGAAAAGTCTTAACAGAAAGACCAAGAATGCCTCGGGTTGAAGATAGAAGGAAGAAAAAGCTGTTGCCACAATGTCCAACAAGTTTTGAGGACGGAAGAAAAGATGCTGGATGATTTGGAAAAGGTGATATGACAAAGTTGGAACAGAGGATGAAGAGCCAGAGGAAGACCAAGGCGACGATGGAGTGAATCTGTGGCAGACACCCTCAGAGCTCACGGGATGTCCCTCCTACAGGCCACTCGCCTTGCTGCAGACAGACGCCTATGTCTCCCCGCGACACCCCCCGGTACAAGCGGAAGACAAAAGAAAAGAAGAAAAGAAGAAGGAACAGAGGAAAATATCCCAGGCTAGCCCTGTTCAGGTGATACTTTAATTATATATAACTGTTATTCTTATTACTTATTGTTATGACGTCCAAAATGATTTTAATTTTAATAAAATATTTTACAAACTTGCAACACAGTAATGTCATATAAGTATTGAAGATTAGAGGTGTTACCAGAAAGTAACAAACACTAAAAAGACAGTGGAGAGAACAGGACGATAGACATTTGATAGGAAAGAAGGAGCACACCACATTAGAGCATCCGCCAACCACCTGCATCCAAAATGTCTTACACACCTATCGACCCCATATATATATATATATATATATATATATATATAGGAGACAGAAAAATTTTCGTTCTGAAGCACCACTAGAGCACTTTCACAAGCAATAGTGAAATTTCGCACGCACACCACACTGACCAACTGCACCACTAGGGGCTCACAGGGATGGGGTAACAGCACCCACCCCCACCCCCCTTCCCCCTCATAAACTGGCTGAATAATGTAAAGATTAGAGCAGATGGAACCAAACTTGGGAGTTTTGTTTCAAATCAAAGCTGAGCGGGCAAAACATTCCATTTTAAGACACATCAAAACCCACTGAAGGTTTCCATCTTAAACAGGAGTATCATAGTATCATAGAAGAATTTAAAAATCGGGGGGCGGGGGGGATTCTGTTACGACAAGGGTTTCTGATAGACAGACGAGAGAGAGAGAGAGAGAGAGAGAGAGAGAGAGAGAGAGAGAGAGAGAGAGACAGAGAGAGAGAGACAGAGAGAAAGAGAGAGAGAGAAGGAAAGAAAGAAAGAGAGAGAGAAAAAGAGAGAGACAGAGAGAGAGAGAGAGGGGAGGGGGGGGAGACCAAATCAAAGGCTTGACAACAGAATTTCTACTGTTGAAATGGAATACCTACACTGCAGAACCATTACTGTTTGAGCTCTCCATTGTTTGAATTAAAACGTTAAAGAATACTCCTATTTATCTATATGTATCGCAACTTCAAAAACACTGAAACTTTCCGCGTCACAATAAAGAATGATGTAACATCC